TGTAAACGGCGAACACATCCACTGGACACACGCACTCCCTTCACAAATGAGACGTTGCATCACAAGGAATTTATCCAGGTGAAATATTTCATGATGAATTGAAATAATAACACATTTGACTATTTGAGGCGCTAATTCTGTTTTAATTACGCTTGTTTACCCAGGAAAGCCTCACCGAGTCTCAAGACATTTTTTTTCAGGAGGGCCCTGGGTTAGTATCCGTGGATGGAGCGCGATGCTGCTCTTGCTGCAGTGTGTAATCCCAACAGAGTAATTTGCAGGGAACAATTCTTTCCCGCATTTGGGCTAGGGTTAATTATTATTACTGTTGTTGTCATTATAATTTTGCTCCGAGCAATAAATACACGATCTTGCCAGGCGGCTCAGTGGTCAGGACACGTAGCAATCTACCCAACTCAACTTTTCACTTGGGTTGTGAAGGTGAGCGCACGCCCCACTCCCAGTTTTGTGAAGCCGGGTGGTTTTCCTGCGGATAAACTAAACTATTAACCTTGTCCGGAGCACTTCACGCACAGCCGATAAACGATCGATGTTCTGTTTATTTTTCATCGCAGGGCCATTGGCTGCGGAGGACTCAACCACCATGCAGCTTTTTTACTTTTTACATTTCCAGAGGTGGACAAACTATGAACTTTTAAAACTATTTTTCGCAACTTACCAGGTAAGGCCCCACTGGGCTATGTAGCCCTTTTTCAGAAGTGACCGGGCCACAAGCGGTTTATCATCACGTGGAAAGGTATAGCAGCCAAACACTCCAAACGCACGTTAATTTCTAAATGTGGAGGGAAAAACCGGAGGACCTGGGGAAAAATCCGGGGAGAACATGCAAACTCAAAAGACAGAGGCATCAGGGATTGGACCCACAACCTCCTGCATACGAGGCAAGGGAGTTAACATCTCGCCACCGCAACACCCCGTGGTTAAACGTCGGGTAACCCAAGAACATGGCATTGATACACGACCGGCTCAGGGCCACCCATAATAATAATACACTAATATATATATACCCAAGAATACTCTTTGGGTCTTTCAGTAAAGAAACATAAATTGAAATATAATAAAAAAATAATGAGATTTCGCATTATTTTATTAGATTATTTTTCTATCTACGTGACTTTACTGAAAGACCCAAAGAGTGTGAATTCCTGCAGTCACAGAAGATTTAAATCAAGATTTACCCAAGAATGTCAGTGTGTAACGTGCGTGACGTCACTCCACGTCAACCGGCCCCCCTCATTAATAATCATGAACAGGTGACGTCCTCAAAATGGACCCCCCCCCCCTCATTAATAATCATGAGCAGGTGCCGTCACTCCACATGGGGGGAGGGGGGGCGAGGCGCCTCCTCCCCCCTCCTCGGCGTCAACTGACAACCCTCACTAGAAAGGCAGAACCCTCACGTCACGTGATCTCCGTAACGCTGTTGAGACATCGAAGTAAAAAGGACGTCGTGATGAACAAGGGATTATAACCTTTCAATAAAATAGGTCTGTGTCACCGCGCCCTTACACATTGCACATTAATGCAATGAATATCACGTCGCGGTCTGCTTTTCGCTTGCAAGTTTCAGATTTACTGAAATTCACCCGTCCGTGGACGGGCAAAAGGCTCGTAATAATTATTTACCCAGGAAAGCCACAGACGAGTCTGATGACTCTCTTTTAGGAGGGTCCCGCTACATTGGGGATGTTTGGCCAACACCAGTAACAGCGTGCGTTTTTCCAGCTATGGGCTATAGAAACCGGAGAATCTGGTGAGAAACCCATGCAGAACAGGGGAGGAGGGGGGTGAATAATACAAAACTCCACCTCACAGAGCGGCACCCGAGTGGGAAACCGAACCAAAAGGCCCTCGTCGCTGCGAAGCCACACGTGTTACCGCTACTGTCGACAACTGCGGACGGACACAAAGGCGTACAACAGGCGGTTGGCGGGAGAGGCAGGTGCGTGTCTATATAACAGCCACTATTGTGACTGTTGCCTGATTCGGCTGGTTTTAATTACCGGCGAAACGTCGGACTTGAAATGTAAATGTTGTGTGTTTGCTCTCCAACACACCGGTGTGCTGTACTAGTAACTAATTGGTATATTTTGTTTACGTGACAAACCTTACTAATTGGCTGTGTTGGGTGGTGATGGGTTTAAGGACTCATTATATTTACGTGATCTAACCCCAAAAAAAACTATATTACGGACAATATTTGCGTCGCGAAAGCCCACTACGTGTTAAACGTGTGTTGAACTTCTTTCGCACCGTTACGTAGCCAACTGCGCTAATCGGAGGTGCAAGTGGGGGGGGGGGGGGAAGGACAACCAACTAAACACGAAAATCGGTTCTAATAAAGAAATTACTTTTCAATCTAGATGTAAAGAGCAACCGCTCGCTGGCACAGCCCGTGTGAGGATGCTCGTCATGCCCTGATGATCGACGGCTCGTGAAGGCTGCTGCAGTGGTGCGGTACGTGACGCTGGAACGCCCGATTTTTTTTTGTTATTCGCAGCACTGCAGCGGGGAGTGGTCGAGTCAGTCCGAGGATATACCGTGTGCTCCTGCTCCGAACGAGCGTTGGGTGGTGCTCGAATTGTAATAGGCAGTGACAAGGCAATTCCATGGTAGCATGGTGGGGCCCAGTGTTTCCACACCAGGACGAATGTTGACTTCCCAACAAAGCCGTTATGTTGTCTCATCGTGATCTTAAGCCATGATGGCGTGGGTTAACCCCTGACGAGGGTTTGAACTTGTGACCTTACAATAGGTGAGCGCTATAACCGCAGGAATAGCATGCATGTTGTATGTGTTCGTGTGCATTAACACGTGTGTGCGTGTCTTTGTTTTTGCATGAGCGATTATTGACGTGTGTGCATATAGACGGCGACAGCAGCGTGTGTTTGTGTGTCATTGTCTGTGTATGGGTGCGGTGTGTAAACATCGCCACTGGGGAGACAAAGGCGGCCGGGCGTGGTGCTGGCCACAACCCCCTCGTTCTTCATAGGTGCTCGCTAACAGCACTTACCCCAACAGTCTGTTAAGGCTATGTGGGGGATCTTTGTCTTTATCTGTGTGTCCGTGCACGGTGGCACAGCGGTTAGCGTGCAGTGCTACAAACCCGGCGACCCAGCAAACCCACATTCTCAATACGAGTACGACGTTTCGCTGGTGATTACAACCAGCTTCATCAGGCGATAGCCAGAATTATGGTTTGCCGCACATACATAAATGTGGAGCAACACACCGGTGTGCCGAACTAGTAACTAATTGGCATGTTTTGTTTACGTGACAAACCTTACTAATTGACTGTGTCCGGTGGTGTCGGGTTTAACGACACATTTACATTCACACGATCTAACCCACAAAAACATTATTATGGACTAGCTTTACTACCCGGCTTCGCCCGGGACTTGGATTCACGACGCCCGGCCGCCTTTGTCTCCCCAGTGGCGATGTTCACACACCACACCAGTTATTCGTTTGAGGCTGAGTCGACCTAGGGGAGGCCCAGGAGCGGTTCAAATAATTGTCACTGGTGATGGCCGTGAGCGGGAATCGATCTCGGGTCGCCGGGTTCGTAGCGCAGCGCGCTAACCACTACACTACCGCTCCCCCCACAGACACACAACCACACACAGCGCGCTAACCACTACACTGCCGCTCCCCACACACACAGCGCGCTAACCACTACACTACCGCTCCCCACACACACACACAGACAAACACAGACAGCGCGCTAACCACTACACTACCGCTCCCCACACACAAACACAGACAGCGCGCTAACCACTACACTACCGCCCCCCCCCACACACACAGCGCGCTGACCACTACACTACCGCTCCCCCCCACACACACAGCGCGCTGACCACTACACTACCGCTCCCCCCACACACACACACAGCGCGCTAACCACTACACTACCGCTCCCCCCCCCCACACACACACAGCGCGCTAACCACTACACTACCGCTCCCCCCCCCCACACACACAGCGCGCTAACCACTACACTACCGCTCCCCACACACACACAGCGCGCTAACCACTACACTACCACTCCCCACACACACACACAGCACGCTAACCACTACACTACCGCTCCCCACACACACACACAGCGCGCTAACCACTACACTACCGCTCCCCACACACACACACTGCGCGCTAACCACTACACTACCGCTCCCCACACACACACACAGCACGCTAACCACTACACTACCGCTCCCCACACACATACACAGCGCGCTAACCACTACACTACCGCTCCCCACACACACACAGACAGCACGCTAACCACTACACTACCGCTCCCCCCACACACACACAGCAGGCTAACCACTACACTACCGCTCCCCACACACACACAGCACGCTAACCACTACACTACCGCTCCCCTCCCACACAGCGCGCTAACCACTACACTACCGCCCCCCACACACACACACAGCGCGCTAACCACTACACTACCGCTCCCTCCCCACACACACACACGCGCGCGTCCATAGGTACACATACACGCGCTTGCTGCAGACACACACACAACTTTCAGGCTGCGTACGGCAGTAAACGACTGAAATCATAAAGCAACGCTGCGCGAAGAACGCCTTAGACCTGCAACACATTTCTATTTCACTTTACCCGCCATCAGCAGGCACACTCCGTTACGCTTCCGCACACGGGTCACATGACAGATGTGACGTCACAGCTCACTTGCCGTGCAACATATCTGCATTATTGCCCCCCCCCCCCCCCATAAAATATAAAAGTCTATTTCTTATAATTGTTGCATGGTGCACAGTCTGGAAAGTACCCACACGGCAAATTTCAAGTTTATTGCATGTCGGGAAGTACGCTAAACATTTTTAACGGACTACACATAATCACGAATGTTCCCTCTTTTATTTCAGGATAATATTGGTCGTGAAATCCCTACAACGTGTTACACTACTGCGGGCCAGTGTCGTTGCTGCCGTTGCTGCTCGACTAACCGCTTTCGAAGGCCGCGTTGAAGACGAGGTGTCCCCTCTTGGTGGGGCCGACGTGATCTGGAGGAGCAACCTGCAGCCGGCTCACGTTGCCCACCGATCCTACGCCAACTCCTCTCCACTCCCCGCTGGGAAATCCTGAAAGCAGAATGGGTTGTTTGAAGCTCTCCGACGTGTTAACTATGATGTAAAACTAAAACTAAACTATTTCTTTTTTTTATTTTACCCGGTAAGGCCCACTGAGCTGTATATAGCTCTCTTTCAGAAGCGACCTGGCCGCAAATGATAGCTTAACGGAGTGGCTTATCATCGCGTGGAAATGCACAGCAGCCAAATACTCTAAACGCAAGTCGATTCTAAATGGGGAGGGAAAAACCGGAGGACCGGGAGAAAAATGCATGCGACCATGGGGAGAGAGACATGCAAACTCCAATTAATTATAGATTTGAAGCTTTCGTGACTGCAAGGATCCACCATACTCTTTAGTTATTTTCGGTAAAGTCACGTAAAAGTATAAAACAACAAAAATAAAAAATTCACGACGTTTCGGCCACAACACAAGTGGCCTTCATCAGGTGAAGGGACCAGACTGTCCTCATGACATTTCGGCCACAACACAAGTGGCCTTCATCAGGTGAAGGGACCAGACTGTCCTCGAGACCAGACTTCACCTGATGAAGGCCACTTGTGTTGTGGCCGAAATGTCGTGATTTTTTTATTTTTGTTGTTTTATACTTTTACGTGACTTGACCGAATAGAACCAAAGAGTATAAACTCCAATGATAGAGGTGTCAGGGTTGGGATCGAACCCACGAACTTCCTGCACACCAGGCGACCAGGCGATGTAGTTAACATCTCACCAACGTGACGCCCCTTACGACCACCATAGGATTATTAACCATTGGCTGAGGACTGCCAATTGAGATGATCGGAGCTGGGATGATGAATCGATGAAGTCCATCAAGTCGACCAAATCAAACTAGAAGTTGCAATCAGATACTTTTACTGCGATTGTGTTACTGGGGCCCCTTTAAAAACAAAAGGTGGATGCCCCGACATCCCGGTCTTCCAAACAGCGGGAATAATCCACGCGCAGTGATCTCACGACATCACCAAGTCTCGTCCATCACCTTCCCTCCAACGCCACACACGAGACCGTTTTTATTTCCGCCCCCCCCCCCCCGCTGGCTTTGTGTTATCCAATGAGTCGAGTAATCAAACCGATAATCGGCAGAGTGATCGATTACTGACGTGATTGGATAGCCCTGGCTTTGGGGATGAGCACTGCTCAGTCAGGGGCTCTAGACATGATAATATCATGGGATTGCCTTCACGTATGTCGGTACGTCCACCTTTAGCAAACAAACAAAAATGCATTTGTGAGCAAAATAATGATTTCGAATTTTACATATATATAAAAATCAGCATCGCACATCAGGGAAACGTGCTTCAGGATGTGAACGCAGCCGACGTGTTCCCTAATGTTCTGGGGCAAGAAGATTGAGGGGGAGGGGTTTGGGGGTTTGGGGGATTTAATTAGGGCAGTGGGGGCAAGAAGCACAGTGGTGGCTGGGAGAGCGACAGGGCAGGCAGAGCGCAATTGGAAGGGCTGAAGGAAGGAACGAGGTCTGATGCAAACATGTCAAGGGGGATAGGAAAAGCTTAGCAGGACAGCAACGCTGACCTGCTAAGCAAGGCTGACCTGCGAAAATTAGGAAATTCGAAAATAGGCTCAAAGCGTTCTGTACGGGGGGGAAAGTGCACGAATTGTTTACATTTAAAAAAAAAATCCCGCAAATTTCACTGCAATTAAATAAATAAGTCGATAAATAAGAAATGTTTAATCACTCCCGTTTATTACCAACTATTTATGTTATTTATTTAAACGAGTTGTTGTTGTTCCTCTCGTTGAGGTGTCATTGCACGGCCTGCTGTGCGTGTTGCTATACGTCACACCGCGGTGCCTGTGCCAGGCTAGGTGGGCTTGAAGGTTTCGTGGATTTACAAAGTGCATCGGCATGCGGTCATGGGACAGACCGAGGCATTCTTGTGTAGGTGAACAAACGCAATTACGGGATACCGTAATGTGTAAAAAACACGCGCACACACACGGTACTTTCAGCAAGCACCAACACAACCATTGACACACATCAGCCTGTTAACCCCGTCATACATAGGACTCTCCTGAGACCTGGTAGTGACCCTTCTCCACTCTACATGGTCTCAAAAGTGCACGTAACCTGGCACAAGTGCTGCCACTTCAAGGCATTTGGCCACTCTTATTGCTTGTATACTCTGTGTGCGTGTGTAAACTTGTACATGTGTGCGTGCACACACCTGTGCAGTAGTGTAGCGGTTAGTGCGCTGCGCTACGAAACCAGCGTCCCGAGTTCGATTTCCACCATTCACAGCCACCAAAACCGGTGACGATTATCTGAACCGGTCCTGGGCTGACTCAGCCTCAATTGAGTACCTGGTGCGGTGTATAAACATCGCCAGTCGGGAGACAAAGGCGGCCGGGCGCGGTGTTGGCCCCCCACCTTCTCGTGTGTCGCGCAGACCTCCAGTCCCCCAACGATGGCGACGACGACGACAATGACGACGGTGATGACGACAAGCGTGACGACGACGATGACGACAACGGTGACGATGACAACGACGACGGTGACGACGACGATGACGACAATGACGGTGACGACGACAACGACGACGATGACGACGACAACGACGATGGTGACGACAATGACAACGACGACGGTGACGACGACAACGACGATGGTGACGATGACGACAACGACGGTGACGACGACAACGACGATGGTGACGATGACGACAATGACGGTGACGACGACAATGACAACGACGACGGTGACGACGACAATGACGATGGTGACGATGACGACAATGACGGTGACGACAACGACAATGACGACAATGACGACGGTGACGACGACAATGACGATGGTGACGATGACGACAATGACGGTGACGACAACGACAATGACGACAATGACGACGGTGACGACGACAACGACGATGGTGACGATGACGACAATGACGGTGACGACGACAATGAAAACGACGATGGTGACGACAACAACGGTGACGACGACAATGACAACGACGACGGTGACGACAACGATGATGGTGGCCATCACGACGACGGCGGCGGCGATGACGACAAAGACGATGGCGACGACGACGGCGGCCATCACGACGATGGCGATGACGACGACGACGACGGCGGCGGCTGCACGGAACTTTTGAAAGCGACACGCCGAACCATTAACCCCCCTGAAGCCCATCATCATCATCATCATCCACCTCGGAGTTGTTGTTTTTGCTAAAGCGATTTATATAACAGAATTGAGAAGGTCACTACTGATTTAAAAAACAAACAACAACAAGAACCGGGCAGCGCTGTCACATTAGGCTAGGGCTCAATATTGAAAGGTGAAAGTCGAGAATAGGAAGGGCAAATTTGGCAGGGTTACGGGTGGGGTCAAACAATTTGATATAATGTCGCTTTTTTGACCGGGGCCCCCTTATATTGCACAAATAGCAATAAAATAATAATTGCTTTGTTCACCTATAACGTCTCACTTTTATTCTCCAGCCCGTTCTGCAGAAGGGTTCTTCACTCGGTGGAGGAGGAGGGGGGGTCGCTCGTTCTGCTGGAACTCTCTACCACCCCACCAGCCATCCGTGCTCTCGACTCCCTTGTTTCTGTACAAATCCGTGTTCTTGACCTAACCAGTTTTCCAATTTGCCTTTGACTGCCTTGCATCTCTCTAATAAGTCGTTATGACCGCTGTTTCTGTACATCGTGTTTAGATTGCGTTTGCATTTGGATGCCATTTGGAGCAAAAAAAATTCGTATATTTGGCCAACATTTTTTTCCTCGAAATATATTTGCCCGTTAAAATGTGCTGCAGTGCCCGCGAGAAAAGCCAAGCAGATAACACTTCAACTCTGATATGCACAGATAGTCAACAGTAAATGTATCTCCCTGCTAGAATGAGCAATGATTAGGGTGACGGCATCAACTGGACACCCTAATCTGGGGACCTTAATATTTAAGACCGAAACAGGAGGATTTATCCGCAACTCTCACTGTCCGCCTGATGATGCTGGTTTCAATTACTGGCAAAACGTCGTACTCGATTTGTAAATATCGTGGGTTTTACTCTCAAATACACCGGTGTGCTGGACTAGTAACAAACTTGCATGTTTTATTTACGTGACAAACCTTAATCATTGTCTGTGTCGGGTGGTGGCGGGTTTAACGACACATTTATATTTGCGTGATCTAACCCAAAAACCTCTATTTTGGACCCTAATCTGCTACTTCTTCTCGCCCTTTTGGGCCAATTTGGGCGTGATGATTTCCTCCGCAGGCGTCGCCTTGCAGTGCCCTCTCCACGTCTCTCCGTCCGCCGCCGTGTCTCTCAGCCGAGACGCCTTCCATCCCATCCAGCGGTTGATGCTTGGCACCCGGTCCGTTTGTTGGTCTTCCTCTTCCCCCTCGAACCTTCCAGCATTATCCTTCATCGCCGTCGCCTACACCCGGTCCTAAATATCCCGCAGCTTCCTGCACTTGACCTGACTTGGAATAATAAACCTCGAGTCTCTGTCTGTGTCGTGTTCTCTGCAAGACTTTCTTGTTCGCTGCACGCTGGCCCGCATCGGTTTCTGAAAAATCCACATTCCGATGATGGGAACCGATATTTTCTTCGAATGCCCACTCTTCATTTCCCACAAAGTGGTACTCATTCTATTCGCTCGGAGGAATGCACATCATGCTGAACAACAAAGCAGTGCAAACACACTCATCAGAGAAGCGATACGTATTGACTCATCAATCCCCGAGCAGTGAGTCCACAGCATTTATATGGCTAGTCTAGCACTCTTAACTACACGACCATCTAACTGGACAGCTAATTAAAACGAAAGTACCCACTTGCTGTACTGCCTCCGAGAGGAATGACCCCACCGATGAGTTTCTCACACAGGCCCCCATTTCCATCACCATCCCCACCTCCAAGGGCATCATTTGCAGGTACGCGTCGAGGCCTCGGGCGGCAAATTACTGCCGGGGTCATGGGCAGCGGAGACAGTGATGTAACGTCGCAAGAAGTGAACAGCTAAACAATTAGGGTAGAATTGAGGTCGTTTTTCTAACCCCCGTGCGAGTAATTATCACTTTTGCATGAAAACGTCACGTCCATTACTCTCAAACCGCAACGCTATCAATCCTGTCCAGTGGCTCTGTGCTCAGTGCGCCTTGAATCACAACGAGACAGCCTTGATTTGGCTTTTCACTAAATGTACGCGTATCCTGATTGTGCTCTCAGCATCGTGTTCTGACACTGACAGCGGTGGATTAACCCGTGGTGTCAGTGGATTGACCATGATGGCTGATGGCTGATGATGATGATGATCAATTATTGTGTCTACTACTTTTTTCGCAAGGGCCTTGATGAGAATTCTGGGCCCATTCCTGAATGGTTGAGCATGGTCGGAAAGCCGCACTTGCAACGGAATCGCATTCAAAACTCTGCGCAGGCTCAGCAAGGTGCTTGCTGGACTGCATTCTGTGGGCTACCGTGGCATTTCCCTCCTCCTGCAATTAACCTTCTCACCAGCCGCATCTCCAAAGGCAATGAGTGACAAAAGGACTGTACCTGTACAGTCTGGACCTAACACACAGATAGGAGTTAGTAGCCAAGGATAGACACATGGAAGGTTGCCTCTATTCTAGAGCTGGGTTATCGGATTACTTTAAGCAAATGATTACTCTTCCGATCATTGGGTTCGATGACAAAATCGAACAGCAACAAAATAGTTGCGACAAAGGTCTCACATGTGTTGCCACGTGTGCCGCTGGACGGAAGGTGATGGGCGGGGCTTGGGGATGTCATCGGCATTATCAGCCGCGTCACGCCGGGCATGGCTTGTAGTGGGGTTTCCCGCCTTCGGGAGGCAGGATGTGGGGGGGATAAGCGATCGCAAACAAAATTAGGCGATCGCAAATTTCAGCCGATTAATCAACCGAACCGACGAAGTCACTTGCGACGTTCGGTGAAGCAGACAGCGGACACGGGGACGGAGAGACTCACGTCTCATAGAGGGGTTGTTTGGAGTTTGATGGAGTAGAGCTGGGAGAGATAAAAAACAGGGGTGGGGGGGGGGGGGCGCTACAGAGAGATGAGATCAAGGGGCCAAGATAAGAAGGATTTCTAAGACGGTCACAGCAATTTTGCTGTTGATGTGCGAGTGGATTGGCAGGCGGTAGACGGACCTTATAAGCGAAATGGACGTGCCCAATAGAGTGGAGAGACAGGAGTGGGGAGAGATACTTAAGAAATTGTATTCGTCTCAGATTACCGATTACTTACGTTTATTTCTAGAAGTTATGGAAACGTAATGTTTTCAATGTCATTCCAATGCAATTCAACGTGTAATGTATATTCATTTAATTTACCAAATTGCAATGAATGCACCCAATCTTTGTCAGATCTCGAAAGCTAAGCGGTTTCAGGCCTGGATAGTGTTCGAATGGGCGACCAAGAAGGTTACCACAGGTGGCTAGGGCCCTACGCGATGGGCAACAGTGGGCAGTGCAGCAACATCCATGGTTGTGCTGTTTGTATATGCCTACACGCTATGTATGTACAAATCCATACTAACCGCAGCACCATGGTGAAGTCGGACGATACAGCCTCCCCGTCACACACATGGAGTGGTGACACCGTCATCCAGCAGTGGTTTAAGAAGGGCTGTACATGTATCGTATGCGCACTTTACAATTGTATGCACGTGTTCGACATCAGAAATAACAGCACCATGATCAGAGTAACTGTATAATTTGTATGGATTGGCTGCTGCTGCTGCTGTGTTGTACTGTACCTGCATTAACCCAAGCTACTGACCCCATCAATCCACTCTTTTTTAAAAAAAGTATATTAATTTTGCTTGTAAAAAAACAAACAAAAAATAGATATCATAAAAGTGGTGGTGCACGCCTGTGATCCGGCACTGTGGAGGCGGCAGCAGCGAGAGTTGCTGGATGACAAGCAGAAGCTGTGAAAAATTCCTTCCCCCGTGGGCGTCGAGATGCCATACGCCCCTGGCGTGCCACGAGAAGGCAGTACAGCAAGTTGGCCTGATCGCCGTCTGCTTCCATCTGCCGTGGCACCCTCGCGCACTTGGGGATTTCTCCGGGCGTATAAACAACTTTAAAAATATATTGTTTACATAAATAATAACACAATGCAAAAGAACCTCCTGAAAAAATTCCTACGACGCAGCGTGGCTCTTCTGGATGAATATAAAAAAATAATTAAATTACAAACAATAAACTGATACGTATGTTGAACTTATTTCGCCTTGCACGTAGCCAACCGTGCTAATCGGAGGTGTGGGGGGGGTAGGACAAGCATTATGGGCATTTAAATCCAAGTGGGCGGTGGAGGAGCGCCCGTGTTGAGTGCAACCGGTGGGTGACCTGAGTTCAATCCTAGGCCCACGGCAAATGTCAGCGGTTGAGTCATGAACTGGTTCATGGTAAAGCCCTCTTCAAGAGCAACAACAACAACAAAACACCTACGCTGACCAGTATGGTGAAGTATGGTCAAACATTCCCGCCGTGACCGTCACGGCATTGGGAGTGCCTTCTATTTGAAATGATCAAAGGTCACTAAACACGGCCGCATATGATGATGGTGAAAGAAAACAACAATAATCGCACAAGTGAATAAGTGAATAGGTCGCCAAGACATGTTTACGCTTAGTACATACAGCTTAAACATAACCCCTTATCAGTACCTAGCTTATTACAGACCAATTCAGACCCCATTGGTCACCCCGTGCCCTTATAAATCTCAACGTTCATCTCACAAAGTCCCTTCACAAGGGAGAAACACAAACAAATAAGACAACAAACATGCGTTTGCCCGCATTGAAACGGCTGTACGCCGTATGGACCTCAAAACTCAATCTCCCTGTACAAGAATATTGGGTAAACCGTATGGGTTGACAGCGATACATAAAGTAGAGTATTGTATCGTCTGGCTCAACAGCATCACATCCACCCGTCTGGGCTGATAGTCATTCAACTGGCTTTACAGCACTGCACAACATGAAAGAATGGCTCACAGTTCATCATCGCGGCGGCACGCGCACACACACGCACACGGGCAAAACGTTACAACTACGTGCAAAACGTTACTCCTTTAAACGTGCGTCAAGTAACGAAATGTTTTGGTTGTTGAAAAAACATCAGGCGCTAACTCGTGGCGCACACACGAACCGGGGCGAGCAGTCGTTTCCGCCATCGTCCCATGCCCCCTTCTCTCTTCTTCCTCTTCTCGTTGACGCCGTATCATAGCAACACAGTTGGGATTCATTTTTTTTTTCCCATCTCGTAATTTCCACTGCGGATACGCAGCCCCAGCCACTGTGTCGCGAGGCGTAGGGGTTGGGGGGGGGGGTGCCAATGGCACGAGGTCAAACATCGCCGCGGATGTCGATGTGGTGGAGGGAAATTCAGAACACCCCAACGGGGAGCTTCCGAATAAAACGCGCAAACCGTTGCGGGTCAGTGTTGTGCCAGATGTTGACTGCCTCGCCTGGTATGCAGGAGGTCGTGGGTTTCGATCCCGACCCTGTTGCCTGCTGCTGCTGTATATTGCGAATGTGCGTGTCTCTCTCCTCGTGGTCGTGTGGATCTTTTCTCCGGGTTCTCCGGTTTCCCCCTCCACATTTAGAAAAAGCATTGGGCGTTTATAGTATTTGGCTGTACATTTGCACGTGATAAGCCACTTCGTTGAGGTTTCATTTGTGGCCAGCTCGTTTCCGAAAAAGAGCTACGTAGCTCTAGTGAGCCATACCTGGTAAAATAAAACATATTTATTTTATAGCCTCAGGATACTGCACTGCACTATGAACCTGCTGGTCACCTGAGTTATGTTACCGGCCGCGACTAACATCAGCAGAGAAGTGATATCTGAACCGGTCCTGAGTCTACGCCCCTCCACGTTCACCAACACCCAATGACCAATGTAGTGATGTGCAATAAAAAAAATACCCAGCATCAGACTCTGTATTGATCCTGGAGCAATCCGATGAGCTACGAAGCTCGGTTTCACTGATGTCCAGCAGTGCCCAAAACGGGCCAGGAAGGCTCTGATCCAGCATTGGATTGACAACGGGTTATAAATTAGAGTTGCTTTTTTATTATTAATATGGAAACATGCCAAACATCTCAATGCACTGCTCTCCTCCTGAAGAAAAAAAAAACACATGGCTTGAGACTCAACGATGCTGATGTAGTGACTGTGAATGTTACTCTGTGGTGCCGGCCTTGCGAGCCCACGGCGGATACTGTAATCATTATGTGCAGCCCGGTTACTGGGCGTAGTACCAGCCCTAGCGGTGCTTGGGTGAGCGCTGGTTAGCGCAGAGGCACCACGTACGGTGTGCGGTGCGGGCTCACGGTGAGGGAGCAAGAGAGAACGTCAGCCAGCCAGGGTTACGTTGGGGCATGATACGCTGGTTGACCTGCCGACACGTGACCGGATGATATTGGAGGGGGGCCACCGGTGGACGGGGGCCGCTGGGCGGTCACGTGGTATAAAGGAGTTCTCGGGAGCCTTCGGGAAAGAGCTCGAGAGACCTGGAAGGTGGGCGGGGCGAGGGGCGCAGCCAGCCCCAGCCTTGGCCAATATAACGGGGGCCCTGTGAGGGGCTAGGGGTTCTTCGGGTTGTTGGTGAAGAAGAGCCACGTTGGGTTGAAGAAGCCTCTAGCCACGCGGTCCAGGACCCAGCTCGTGGTCCGGACCGGGATAGCGGGACCGTGTCTAGTTCTGCCGTAGCGTGGTTAGATGGGATTCAACACCCGAGTGTAGGTTACGTTATGTTGTGTTGAGTAATAAATAGTGTTGCTCGCAAGACAACGTCTGCGACTCGGTTGGACTCACTACACTTTCATGAGTCAAGTAAAGGCAATGTCCCCTTGCCCAAAGCGGCAATGGTGAGTGGCACTAAACTCTGTAGGTTGGTCCAGGGCCAGTTGCAAAAATTCCACATTCCCACAGTGGAAAATATTTTCTTAACAGGACGACCATCTGAAGTAACGTGGTTTTACGTCTCATCGACTTACTCAGCACAACATAACTATTTTCTTAACAAAGCCTCGTTTTTTCTATGAAGGCCACATTTTATACCATTTACAAACAATCGAAATATCCAGCAATGTAGTCGCGAATTTCAATACGATTCATATTACATTGTATACTGCAATATTATATAGACAAAAATCAATGCATGTTAAATGAACACCACTGAAAATGTCAAGCGCACAAACCAATTCTATAATAGTGACTGCATAGTACAGTCGAAAATCGGGGCTGTCTGGAAAGTGGAGTTCCATTTAACAAGTAGGACAATGCTTGTTCATGTTTTCGAGCTTTGAAGTACGATTTTTATTTTCCTGTTCAGATTTTTTTCTCTCACATTTTCTGCGACGTGGTATATCTGTCCATCTTGCTTTTTTTTTAGGACACACCGATCTCATTTTTTTATCGTGAGTATTGTGAATAGTGCCTTTGGGCGGAATGTGTTCACGAAGGCATGATGACGGATGGTCGAGGTTAACGATGGAGTGACAGCAAAAGGAGGAAAAACAGGTCTGAGACGTTACCCACCATGGAGATGGAGCGATGGAATTAGCTCCGTTCCGCCCGATAGATTATTGTAGCGAGAGTGGGGTTACTACCTTTCCTAACACACCAAACCCAGACGTATTTCTCAGCCGGCACGAGGTCTATCCTAGCAATGCGGTGCACCGTAATACAATTCAACACAGCAAACACCGGCACTAGATCTCTGGTACGAATCAAATCCTGCCACTCGACACACAGACGACAATTTCTAGACTGTCTGCGTCAAACCCAAACAGGTGGCAAATCTAATTGAGAGACTGTGAGGAATGGCGAAGGCTTAGGGAGGCCCTCATCCAGCAGTGGATATATCATGGCTGATGATACTAATATTAATTCAAGTGCGCATTCATTGGCCTGGCTTAGAAAGGCAGTGATGCCCGCTTCTTGGTTATAATCCTGCGTCAGCAGTTCTCCTGCTGTGTTTGTCTCACCTGATGACGGTTGCTTGTGTTACGATCGAAACGTCGTGATCTATTAATTTTCTACCTACGTGACTTGTCACGAAAGCTTCAAATCAAGATTGTAATTCAATTTTCAAAGAGCGATTTTTTTTCAATTAGCCACACGAATTGTGGCTGCATAACAAAGCAATGCGTAACAGACCTTTATTGTAAACATTATTACAAATGGTTTACTGCTTAAAGCATACCTTAAAGCATAATGATATTGTAATAGTAATAGGTTTTTACCCTTTTATCTGACACCAAAACTGACACCTTTATACAAGGGTTCATGTTTGCAATAACCACAACACAAGCAGTCAAAAATGCAAACAAAAAAGACAACTCTGTTAATTATATGCACTGTCCTTGAAATTGATTGGCCCACACCCGAGACGGCTTTTCTTGTCTCCACTGGTGTTGGACCAGATGACGCCAAAAGGCGTACAACTAAAAAACAGCGCACTATCAGAGTATTGAGAGTTCGGGGTAAGCATTTACATTATGAGATCTCCTTTGCCAGTAACAAGATATAGTGGAGACAAGAAAAGCCGTCTCGGGTGTGGACCAATCAATTTCAAAGACGGTGCATATAATTAACAGAGTTGTCTCTTTTTGTTTGCATTTTTGACTGCTTGTGTTGTGGTTATTGCAAACATGATCTCTTGTATAAAGGTGTCAGTTTTGGTGCCAGATAAAAGGGTAAAAACCTATTACTATATCTTGCTACTGGCAAAGGAGGTTTCATAACATAATGATATTATAGAAATTACTGAACAGACAATATAGTTCTCTGTTGTCGATGGTCATTTTCTGACACGTGGTAGTGCACTGCTTGCTGTGCGAATTCCCAATGGATATTCTTTGTCTCTCGAAGTGTCACCTCGCACTACCGCAATAAAATTGTGACGTAAATAACAACATTCATATTGACGTGGAAAATCCAAGTGCTGTTTGGGTAATATTGGTTCATACTGCTCTGTGACTGATTCAAAGCCCTAGATCTGAAATTTTGTTAATTGCTCTTTCATGCCAAAAGACGAAGACACCCCATATAGTGCTATTAGCGAGCACCTATTAAGGCCTGCACGGCATATGAGGGGGTGGTATGGCTAGCACCTTTTACCTGGTTTTGCTCCCCAATGTTGCTGTTTATACACTGCCAGGTATTCATTTAAATAAAATCAGAATCTTTATTTAGACTGGAGAAATCTGATGAGCTATGAAGCTCCTTTGCACAGATGTCCAGTAGGTTTCACAGATGTCCTACTTTACATCTGCGAATCCTTCAGGAGGACATCTGTGAATTTAAATCTACGTCGACCTAGCGAAGGCCCACGGATAGTTCAGAAAAAGTGTGGTCAATTCCTGTTTACTCGCCATTGATGTCAGCCATGGCAGGAAATCAAACTCAGGTCACAGGGCTCATAGCTCAGTGCACTAACAACTTTGCCACCAATTCCCCACACACACCCTCATCATGCACACGTCACACTCACCTCACACATCATGCAGGCACCATCATCACCTCAGCCTTAACCACAACCCTTCATCACCATCTTCACCTTCACTGTAATTTTTAAAATCATCACCACCTTCAACACGCACTAATCAGGCGGTCCGCCCATGGTAATTTGGAGCCAAAGGGATCCCACTCGATGAGTACAGTGGCAACTATCCAAGCGCGTTCACACCTGAAGGAACAGACAGCAATTCCGAGAAATGCAGACAGATTGCCAAATCCAATTATGAAACTGACCTTTCATGATGACAACAATGCCTCGTGCGTCAACATCTCTCTTGCCCAATTGTGGTGTGAAGCATCTATAATGTTCTGCTGGCAGTCTCGAGCCAATATCAAGCATTCCACATTGCTATGACAGGGCCTGGGTGTTTTTTGGCCGTTGAGCCACCCCCTGTTGATTTCTATAAAATAGGTACTTATTCTGTCTACCCGAGAATAAGTCATGATATTGTAAGATATATATATACATATATGAAACCATTTTCCAATCCACTGTTAGACGAGTGGCTTCCCACACCGCCGTGAGGGTTTTTTGACCATACTTCACCACACGGATCAGTGCGGATTGGTGGAAGCATCAACATGGGAGCACAGCAGCACAGGGCAGTAATTTAAAATAGATTGTGCTGCACGACCAGCCCTTCGCACAACGTGGCTCCCGCAGCCCGCAACACCTGTTATGCATGGTGGTCACCCAGATTATAGAAATACTAAGCATCTGCAAAAGAAAAATTCTGATTGCTAATATGCACATGGATATACATTACATGTACAGCACAACCACAATAATCCAATAATCCGCGGTGATATGGGGTGGAGGGAGGGGTGAAGGGGGGCGGGGGTATTGGCATATCGCGGGTCCCGTAATCCGAGGTGCACCTCAGAGGGTAGTCCCCTAATTCGCGGGGAAATTTTTGCTTCGACGCGGTGTGCCGCGT